GCTCCTCTCATCCCCGCAAGAAGGACCGCGCGATGCTCCTGTTCCATTCGAACCGTCTACTTTACCTTTTTCTCCTCGCTCGTTCCCTTGCACCCCCTCCCCGCGCCTGTTCCTCGCTTTTTCATCAACCGCCCTCGCCCCCGCTGGTCCACGGTCTTGCCCGATCTCGCTCCAGTTCTTCCGGCGTTTCTATTCCCCGGCCGTTCGACGGTGGGACGCGGTCCTCTCGCGTCGACGCGAGGAATCGTCGCTCGCCAATTGCGCCCGGAGAGCGGGAAGACTTATCGGGATACTTTGCGGACAACGGTCCTCCGAGGTGTCCGCGATCGATCCTCGGCTCGCCGTCGTGACCGTGCATGAGTTACCTCGAATGTGTCACCATCGAGAGTAATAGATGTCCGCACGCGAACGTTCCAGGAGATTGGTTCGAGCTTTGAGGGTGATTCGAATGAGACTCGAGAATGTACTCAATTGATTTAAACTAGGTTCTCGGTAGAACGCGGAATTATGAGTTACGGGAATGTGATATGACGTGAATTTCGTGATTGGATGGTGTTTTCATTCGCGCGAGCCACCGTAGCAGCGTTACCAGATAGATGTCCTCAAAGAGGGAACTCGGTAGAAAATTTCCTCAAAAGCCACGAACGGAAAATCGCGATGGAGACTCCGAATCATTTTCCTCGCTTATCTATGTTCAGTTAGATTGATCGTCTAACGGGTGTCTCAACGGTGATAGCAGACTACTATCACGCGACTTAGCAATAGGGTAGTTTCCCTTCCACGACAGATAATTAGCATCAACATATTCCAGGGATATCTAAGAACTCTGAAACCCCTTAATTGTTATTATCACCGTTACCGTTAGTATTTCGCGAGGTCCTATTAAGACAGAACGGAACGCATCGGCCGCGGAAGGTCGGGGAGAAGAAAAATGGCGCACTCAGGTTTATTAGCCGCGCTACGGGAACAGAGGAAACAGCTTCTGCTCGTTCCCGAGCGGCATCGTTTAGATGGCAGTCCATTGAACCTCCGGCTTGAGAGAATTCAGCACGTTACTTATTTATCAGCGTCTACACGTACGCGGAGCGTAGCCACTTCCGTGTAGAAAAGCCCGCGACCATCATCCCCTCGGGAGAGGCACTTTCCGCGCGGGAGCAGATAGAGAACCCGGCCGACACCCGGATTGGATTGGCGCCCCGACGAAAAAACTTATCGGGATTCCTTGCGGATATAACGCCGCTCCCTGGGCCGCTTTCACCGGCAACCTTCTGCGCGGAATTGATCGATATCCGCGGACGACCGCCATATTAAGCCGGGGAATCGAAATTGCGCGTATAATTCTGCCCCCCGCCGACCCTGTCGAACTTCCCTTTTACCCGGGGGAAGATTAAACGCGTGGGAGGCTGGCTGGGGGGGAAAGTGAAGCTTGCCAGAGGCAACCGACGCTGCAGCGTGTCGACTCTCCGTTGAATAAAAAATATTAACGAACACACACGCCGCTGACCGTGTCCGTTCGCACTTTAAAAGAACGCGGAAAGGTCGTTTCCTTGACACGCGCGACCGTGCGTCACTCGTTTGCGCTGGAATGATAAGAAGCTGATCTCGGACAAGTTCATCCTGCGGCATGTGCATAGGCTGTTTGCATAGTTACCGGCAAGCGATTCGCGAACGTAAGAAAGACACTTGTTTTATATGATGTATGTAATGGT